TTGAGAGGAAAAACACTGAGACCCAGGTGACTTCAAACAACAGTGCTGGTGGACTCACAGGTTCAAGCAGAGCGTTTTCTCAGAGTTGTCACTGTTTCACTTCCTTCCTCTCACTCACTTCCCGGAGTTAATTCAGAGGAGAACCTCCAGGCTCAGTTGACTCTTTGATCATTCATCACAAAAAGTAGAGCATGTTCCAATTCCAATTCAAACAAAATAAAATTCTCTACTATGCATTGTTCTAAGCAGCAGCATCTTTAGAAAAAAGATAATGGTTGCAGGCAAATTATTTGGGCAACGGCAGCCACAATGTCAAGTTATTATACAAAGAAAGTTGGCCATAGAGTTTTAACCTCGTTTTCACTTTCTTCCAAATAAAGTAAATTCAATAAACTGTCTCAATAAAAAACTCACACAACTCTGTGGTGGTAAGATGACATTTGTGCAAAATACTATAGATGGAGAGAAAGGTGACAAAAAGCCAGCAACAGGACTTCAGTGAGCTAGATCGTAGGCACAGAAACACAAGATAACACAGGCACATTTAGTGATATGGTACAGTATGACATTCATGCTATGAGAGAGTCAATACACTTCCCAATGGGCCTATCTAGTTCTTCCCAAGAACTACTTTCGTTGCCTAAAGAATTTGGCCACTTATTTAGGAATAGACTTGACACTGAAAACAGCATCTTTGGTCTCTTTTCCACCATGTAAAATTAAGTTTGCCCTGTTTACAAAGATACACACATTAGGAATGAGCTCACCTGCTCTCCTGAACTTGAGGCTCTTTTTATGTCAAATGCTTGATTTCCCTAAATTAAAGAAGTGAAAATACCCAGACCTACTCTGGAGTTCACAGGCTGTCTATAAAATCTAGGGCCAGCCCCAAATATTACAGTACTTGATCTTCTTCCTACAGGATCCACACTTGAGACATGAGCCTTTGCCAGAATGATAGATACTCGATGCAATTTGAGTTTGAACAATTCCTTCAGTCATGGACATTTTTAGGTGCACCACTGTGCAGAAACCACTAAATCATCTTTCTATTCTAAATTCATTTAGAATAAATTTGTCACTTGTCAACAAAAACAAGGATGTACATGTGAGCCAGTCAAAATGTGAATCACACCAAGTTCCAGAGAGGCACATAATCAAAGTTCACAAACTGTGACAATACACCCACTTGGACCACTCAGAGTCCAAACACACCTTTCAGAAATAGAAACTTTTTGACAGGTGCAGACTGGAACACGTTTAACTCAGACCTTTCCCTCCTCTCCAAAACTACCTAGCAAGTGTGCAAACTTAAAAATCCTCGAAAGACCCGGTTCCCGCTCACTGGCTGAGCGAGGCACGGGAGCAACACCGAGGGTTGCAATCCCGTTGCCGGTCCCCGGTCTGGTACGGGGGCAACACTGGGGGTTGCGATCCGTTGCCGGACACGGAAAAAGACAAAAGACAAAAAATAAATAAATAAATAAATAAATAAATAAATAAATAAATAAAGGCACGGGAGCAACACCGAGGGTTGCAATCCCGTTGCCGGTCCCCGGTCTGGTACGGGGGCAACACTGGGGGTTGCGATCCGTTGCCGGACACGGAAAAAGACAAAAAAAAAAAAAAAAAAAAAATCCTCGAAAGACCCCCCCTTATTTTTTAAAATTTAAAATCCAGTTGTTTGGTGTTTTAGTTCCTTCAAAGTGGGGAAAAAAAAAAAGACTGAAGGAAATGAAATCCTCACCACTTGGCTTTTTGAAACATTATCATCTAACACCAAACTAGCATCAATAATTATTATACGTAAAAAGTATTCTTTGTATTTTGTAGAGGGGTTGATTCAGTTTATTTTTTTTTCAGCTATGAGCTCTGTTTAATAAAGCATCAATCTTTGCAGTGGTAATATATGCAACAAAAGCTGTGGGGTGTTTCACCAGGAAGAAGGTTCTGACATGCACTGCAATGAAGAAACAAATGCCGTAACACACCATAGATGCAGAGTGGTTTTGGGACAGTGTCAGTTTTGGGATAGTTTGAAGACAGAGTGACTTGTGAAATTATCAACCCTTAGCTGAACAGAAATGGTGGCCAGAGGACACTTTGTTTCCTTTATCCCAAAAAACACCCAATTTCAAAATATGACATTAACCTTAACTTTGAATCTCATATTTAAACCCATCTGTTTGACCACGTTAAATAAAAAATAAATAAGTAATTTTGGCTCCTTGAGAGATTTCACCATTGGCTGGTCACCTGTGATTTTTTTTCTTAATTTCAAAGCTAATATGACTTTCTAAGGAAATCTCTGGGAATAAAAAAGTCATTATGCAATACTTCTTACCTATGTTTTCACCTTGAAGTGACGTTTCTTTAATAAAGAATCAAGACACAGACCCAACCATGAATGAATATGCATTTATTAATTCACTCATTCATTCATTGTTTCTTGTGCTGTTTGGGATTTAGGTACTCTTAAAAATGGGAGAGGAAAAACCCAAAAGGTTAATTTTACTGTAACAAATTATCAATATAGTCTAAATTAACTTACAAAACTATGAATATTTCCTATATATGAAAGGCAGGATTCAAAAGAATTCAACTTACATGACCTTGTTCTGAGTTATCTCATGCTGGTTCAGTGAGTCAACAAAAAGACTATGTAAACAGTTAACTATAACTTTCCCTCAGTGAACTTGTTCCCAAAAAAATGTCTATGACACCCTTGAAATTAGGCAGTACTACTATTGATCTGGAACTACAGTGTGTCCTGGAGTTCAAGTCAACATTTGTCCACTAAGACCAGATGACCCTAATTTTTAAAATAGTTGTTGGCCCTATGACAGTTATTAGTCAAAAGAAATTTAACCAAGACCCGATCCCACCTTTCTTAATAACTCAAACACCTTTCAAGTATTGTCCTTTAGAAGTACCATGTTTTACTATACTACATCTGCCTCATAAACACGGACTGAGAAATATTGGTTCCAATTAAGTTTGTAAAATTACAGTTATTACTCAAACTGCTAATCAAATTTAGAGCTTTGGTACATTCAAGTTGCTAAGCTAGGACTAGTTTCTTGGAAAGAAAGTGTAAATCTGAATTTGGCACATCATGATAACATTCTAAAGACACTCTTTACTTGACTGGTTTTTGCAGCTCCATCTTTTGGTACTACAAGCTTCAGTTTGAACACTCTATCAGCAGAGGCTAAAGTGAGCTCATGGCCCACAGGATCTCCACATCTCTTTCATACTAAAAAAGTGCACTGGAAAATACAGAATGGTTTACGTACTTCCCCTAGAACATAAACAGAAAACACTTGTTCACCATTACTACAGAGCCATTAACAATTTCTGTCTTAGTCCAAAACACAAACCAAAATTAAAATGTTCTGGGCTTTCCAGGAAAGCATACGTTCCATTTTCAAAAAGCCTGCTCTTTATCCACTCTGTGCTATTTAATTTTTTCAGGAACTAAGAACAATACAGACCCAGGTGTTTTATAAACAACAGCAAAACAAAACTTTCTAGTCCTGAAACCTAATTGTCATCTGGCTAGAAAGATAGAGAACTCCATCTATAAAGTCCTCTATCACCACATTTCTTGACTTGGGTTTATTAGACTTACTATTGTGGCTTCTTTCTTTCCCCATCTCCTGGAAATGCCATTTCATTCAGGGGCCTGGGATGTGGCTTTTGACTCACAATGGAGTCCATTCCCATTTCCTCCAGATCTGGCAACAGGAGGATCCTCACTGCAGAGGATGTGCAGTGAAAAAAAGGGGAAACCTGCTTCAGGAGTTCCAGCCCAGACATTTTTTTTTTCCTGCTCCAAAAGAAACAGCCTTAAAGCACTGATAAGCCAGGGCTCTGAATCAGTGTACGGAGTTAATTTTTTCCCTCAGAAAGTCAATCACATCCCATTTCTGACGTGGGCACACAAAATCTCCAAACAGGAAAAAGAAAAGGGTTGAAACAGGAAATAAAAATCAGAATTATATTCTTCCACTTCTCAAAATTATCTTTTTCCTCCTGACAGGCAATTGCTTTCTCTAAATACCAGACTTGGACTTTTAAATCACTTTCTATTGCTCTCTACAGTTCTGATTGAAAGCAAGGGTTTGTTTTGGTCCCACACGTTGAAAAATCCGTGTCCCTATAACTAAGAGGTTGTAAGCCACGCCTTCCCCCGCATTTCCCCGTTAAAATCGCTTCTCCAGAAACGATCCCTGAAAACACAACTACCATCCCTCATCCTTTTCTCAGGCGGCCACAGGAAACAGATCTGAAGATTGTCGGCAACCTTCCTAACCCTCCAGATCACAAAGTTGGCAACTGAAAGGACTCTCGGTGACATATAAGAGTGGAGAAGAGTTGGAGTTTTACAAGTGTGCCCCCCAAGAGACCAGTTTTCCCACAAGCTCATAATTAATATCCCCCAAGTGAATTCCTCACCTCCTGACTGGACTACATATAAAAGTCTGTCGTAGGTTGATATAGAAGAATAACTTGGTATTCTTTCACTTAAGCAATATATAATAGGCCACAGGGGGACGAAAAAATACAAAACTTTTTTCCTCTCTCAAAGAGCATACTTTCTGAGGCAATGATTCATAATTTTGGGGTGGCATTTTTAAAGACCCCGTCCCCCTCCGCCGCCACACACACACACACACACACACACACACACACACACACACACACACCCCTGGTTGGGGTACTCACGTGCTATTGGGAAACTGGGGTGTGGGGGGTCTAAGGACACAGAGACCTTACATGTCCAATCCTGGAGGTATTTTTTGTATGGAAGCTAGTCCGGAGTCCCAGGGATGAAGCCCTACCCCCCACCCTCCCACCCACAAAGTGGCCATTCCCATTGGAAACAGGAGTGAGCTGGGAAAGGAATCGAGCCGGGCAAGAGGAGCAGCGGCAGCACCAGCTGCCACCACACAACGGTGCCACCTCGCCCGCTCTCGAGGGGAGCAGAACGCCCTTACCTGCGGGTGGAGAGCCGCCGGCGCCACTTCCAAAAGTTGTGCTTCACCTTCCCCGGGAGTTCGAGGCCCCGGCAGCCCGGCCCCGCCGCAGGCTCGCAGCACCCCAAGCCTCTCCCGTGCCGTCCCCACCCTGTCTGCCCTACACCATGTCAGGAATCCGGGCAGGCACCGAGCGGGGAGCTGACATCACTCCCAGTCCCAGGTACCTCCCCTCCCACGGCCGCCTTCTCTCCTCCCCCCCTGCAGGAATTAGCCAAAGAGAGTCCGCAAGGGGGTGGCGGCGGCAGCGCCTGTGCTCCCGCTGATTGGACCCGGGCACAGTCACTCAGAGGAGTCGACTAATTTTATACATTCCTCGCCCAGCCAGACTAGGCTGGAAGTGGGTGTTGATGGAAAAAAAATGCTGCCTTTCTTGCTGTCTCAAGGGAAGGGAGATAATGGGATGGGGCAGAAGCCGGCGGATCGAGTTGTAAACTTTTCTTGGCGTATTGACTGTACCCCAGATCAGAAACGAAACTAACCCACCCAAGCCCCCTTTTTAAGGAAAAACAATTGCCTGTGTGTCACGGGCAAGTACGAGCCGGGCGGCGCGTGGTGCAGAAAATGGCTAGCTGTAAGTCATGCAAATAAAGGAAAACGCCAGCTCACCCTGCTGCCCTTTCATCCTGGGACTGCTGGGCGTTCTTTAAGACCGGGCATTCAAAACTTCAAAAGCACTTGGGAAGAGAACCCTGGAAACGACGGCCCGGCTCTGAATTGTTAACTGGTGGCATTATCAACCATGTGTCTGCTTTTGCTTTTAGCGATGAAAAGCAGCTTCGCAGGCAACTAAAACCGAACCGCCAGAGTAAGAAAAACTATTTACCTTTTTAAAGAACCTTAAGGCTGCTGTTTTAATGCACAACTGAAAAGGAGGTGGAGGAAAAATTCGCAATTGAGTTCCACAAGCCACAAGAGAATAATTACTGTTGAATGGAACCAATTGCAGTGGCTGAGCTATCAATTAAGAATTAACTAACATTTACCCTTGACAGATACCATGCTGTATAATCCCCTTAGCTTTATGGAACAGAAAGATTCTCAGGAGATGGTTCTTTCAATTTGCCTGATAATCTGATTCAAGACAAAACTGAATGGTGAAAAGTAGCATATTATCCATCATCTTCTAGAAGTGCAATGAATTAATTATTGACTTTCTGTTGGTTTTTATTGTTTGTTTTTTGATTGATGACATGTCAAACATTTCACTGTTCTGCTAAAAGTTGTGTGGGAATGCACAGAGTCTAGCACTGTGTCTTATTTAATCCTCATAACCGTCCTGCAAATTGAGTGTCATTAGCCTTGTTTTAACATAAGGAATCAAAGGCTCAGCAAGGTTATGTAAGTAAATTACTCCAGATCACCCAGAACTGGATTGAAACCAAGGTCTGTTTGACTCCAAAACCTTTTTTTTTTTTTTTCTTAATATCTAAAGTGTTGAGTGTCCATAATCTACACTCTTTCAAATACTATAATGCTGCTACAAAACATCCACAGACTCGGCCGCTGCTCTCACAGACCTACTTTATGTTATTATTACTATCGTGTTAGTTGTCAGACTCAACACTGTTCCAAACTTCTAACTTGCCCGTCTAACTCCGTTTTCCCCAGCTCCACTTCTTTCTCTGCACCACTGCCAGATGCATTTTCTGAAACAACGTTCAGTTTCATCATCAACATCTTTCCCTCTAAATCAGATCCCTCTTGCCCTGCAATGCTTAGCTAGCCATTTAAAATTGTCCCTAATCTGGCTTCTATTCATCTTTATCTTTCCCACCTTATCTACCACTTCACTCCTGGGAAACCCTCTGCTATAGCCAAACAGATCCCTGCTTGTTTCTCACCTGTCAGCCTAACTGGAATCCCCACTTTTCTCTGTGTTAAGTCCCACCCTTCTCTCAAAGCCTAATTAAATTAAAGTCCTTGTCCTCTGCCAAGACATAGCTGTGTGCTACAATGGACAGAAAAGGTGTTGGGGCCCTTTGCCCAGCCCTGCCATTCACTTGCTAGGTAACTTTGGGCAAATCACTAAAACATCTGTCCTTAACCTCAGTTACCTCCTCTCCAAAATGGAGCTGACAATACCTATGTCAAAGGTTATCATAAGGACTATTGAGATTGTACAGATATGGTTATACATGTCTAGTTCAATACACTTCCTGCCTCTGAAGATCAGGCTTCATGCTTGATAGCTTTTTGTATTCCTTATACCCAGTTCAAGGAAAAGGCTCAGTAGAAACATAGGGCTCCAGAAAATGGATCTTCATATCACCCTAAATGCCCTCTACCCCCAAATAATCTCTCAGCCAAAAACTCCAACTATTTCCTCCTGTCCTTTTCCCCTCCCCGCTTTTTATACTTTGGCTAGAGCCCTTGCCTTCCCCCACTCACCCACTCACCATTCGTTCAACAACCCATCACTCCCTCAGATACCTTCTGGACCAACAACTTAACCTCTCTTTTAACCTTCTCTCTCCCTCAGTCACGGACACACTTGTCTGTCAGTGCCTGTTGCCTGCCTTGCACCCCAATGTCTTCAAACAGTGGTTGTGGTTGGCCGTTCCTCCAGCCCTAGTCATAGGATGGCTGCAGGGGGACACACTTGTCTGTCAGTGCCTGTTGCCTGCCTTGCACCCCAGTGTCTTCAAACAGTGGTTGTGGTTGGCCGTTCCTCCAGCCCTAGTCATAGGATGGCTGCAGGCAGGCTCACATTCTTCTGAATCTACAGCCAGCCACAGGAGTAGGGGGAGGGAATGCCCCACCCCCTTAGGGATGGCAGGATAGAATAACAGGAAGTCGCCTCCCATCCTCTCTGCAGCTGGAGTGATAACAGCTGCCATCAGAATCCAGAAAACAAAAGACTCAACAAGAAAGCTGAAAACAGGCCAGGACTGGAGCAGTAGTGTTCAAACCAGGGCTTACAAAGAGTGGGTAAGGAAACAACCAATGGGTGAGAATTCAGTCTCCTTCCCTCCTTTTAACCAGAGTTACAGCTCCTATCTGTTCTACGTTTAGGCTTTGCCATAATACTTCATTTTTCAAAGAGTCTAACACTTACACATATTGGAACCACTGGCCTCTGGGTATCTTAGGGAAACTCCAAAGGATCAGGACATTGCAGCAGAAGCAAAACAGAATGCCTGATGAGCAAGTACCCAGAATTTATCCACTATCTTGAATCCTCTGTAGTCTAGATATCTATTTTCTGCGTAGTTATTTCTAGGATCAGCTTTACCTTTGATCCCTGTGAATTTGGCAGATATATCACTACTGTAGGTTGAGGGGTGTAGAGACACTGCAGAAAGCAGGATAAAACCTGCAGAGCGTAACAAAAGTAGAACTTGAAACAGACCCTAAAGAGAATCTGATGTAATCACCCATCAAATGCAAGAACCCATCTACAGCATTCCTGACAGTTAGCCTCCAGTGCCTGGTTGAATTTACCCAGCAACAAGGGACAGGCTAGCTAGGCAAGCAGCCTGCCATTAAAGATCTTTCTCTTATTAAGCCAGGCCCTGCTTTTCTGACTTTTCCTCCGAAAGACCTCTGTCTTGTGTCTCATTTAATCTTCACAACCATCCTGTGAGGTGAGTCCTGTTCCCCAACTTCCACTCTTCTTCATATGCCCACACTGTGCAAACCGAATTACTTTGCATATTCCCTAATAATGTGTCCTCAGTTATGAATGATTTTTGCCCATTTCTAACAAAATCCCCCTCATAGGGCTGTTGCAAGGATCTGACAAGAAATCATATGCAAGATGGCAGAGCACATTCCCTGACACATAATTGGTCATCAGTAAACATATTTTCCTTTTTCTTGTGTTGTAAAACAATTGTACTATTATTTTAATAGATGGCTTATGTCCCTCACTGTGTAAGTTCCTTACAATCCTTGAGGGCAGAATGCTAATTTGTTTCATCTTTACATCTTTTATGCAATCTAGTACCATGTTTTGTCCTATAGACATTCAATAAAAATTCGCTGAATGTATGAATTGATGAATGAATGCAGTCTTTTGCTTTAAACTCCTAACGTGACATAGGCTAGGTCTTTAGAAGTTCAGAATAAGCTGACCAGACTGATCAGGAAGGGTCCAGGTGCCTCCTGCTGTTCTCTTCCTAGTCACATTGCCAAACACAGAGTGGGTTAAACACATGGTACAAATCATGAACCCAAATCCAAGCTTAGCTTTAGAATTCCTTCTAAAGGAAATTGCTGCTTATTCTGTCTGCTTCTAAGCATGGCATTGGTGATAACCCAGACACTATTTTAATGTCTTTTAGCTGAATACTAAGCCACTATGCAGTTATCACCACTAAAATCATTTATGAATCCAACCACCTCCTGTCCCTAGAAACAGGTTAGAAATATGCACAATGGGCCGGCCTGGTGGCACATTCAGTAGAGTGCAGCGCTTGGGAGCGCGGTGACGCTCCCGCCGAGGGTTCGGATCCCATATGGAGACCGGTCGGCTCACTGGCTGAGCACAGTGTGGGCGCCACACCGAGGGTTGAGATCCCGTTACCGGTCACGAAAAAAAAAGACAAAAAGGAAAAAAAAAAAAAAAAGAAATATGCACAATATCTTGCACCAAGCAAAGAGTCTTTTTTTCCCCTGATCCCGTTACCGGTCACGAAAAAAAAAGACAAAAAGGAAAAAAAAAAAAAAAGAAATATGCACAATATCTTGCACCAAGCAAAGAGTCTTTTTTTCCCCTTGCAACCCAGTTGTACTGGTTTTTCTATTGTTACTCACCAGATAAAGGCAAAAACCCAGTTACGTTCAACTTACCCATTTTATTTGCCTATGTTTAAATTTTTTTAAATTTTTAATTAAAAATAAGAATGGTCGCTTTTCAAAGTCTTTGAATAATGTTCAATTAATGGCTAAATTAAACAAATTAAATTCCCTTAACAGTTAACCCCATTACAAACTTAGTTCATTGATTTTCCTAAAAAGTATGCAGGGTTCCTCTGTTCTGAGAAAGGCCACCAAGATAGAGAGCCAGCCCTTTCAATACATAGGAGTAACTCCTGTTTCCCAGT